CTTTCATTAAGCAAGCATTCTATCAGAAATTAAGCAGTATCTTCAGTAACAAGATAAAAAAATAAACGATTAAAAAAAAAAAAAAAAAAAAAAAAAATTTCCCCCCTTTCTCTCAATTTTGTTTTTCCCTCCTACTCATCTGTTTTTGTTTTGTTTTTTTTAAACAAAAACAAATCCAAGTCATTGGTTGCAGTGCCCAAGGAAAAATGTTTCCTGCTGGAGTCACATTTGGTCTACAAATTCTACAAAAGAATTTCATGTGTCGGTGCATCAGTGACAACAGGGGTACATATTTTTGCACTCAGACAGGTAAGTTGATCCAATTGCAGTTGTCAATTAGGGTTAAATTTGAAAAAAAAAATCTTTCAGGCCAACACAAACTCAAAGTAGAGTTCTATTTCAAATCCTATTAAATAACATTTTATGAATAATCAACTTTAATACAATTCTTTTTAGCAATGTTAAATTTTTGCTTCCTAACATCCAAATCAACTGTAAATGCTGATCTATATGGAAATGTTGTATGCAGTCTCTGTAATTCTTTTTCTATGATTAATTGCTTTCTTGTGATATGTATGTATGTATGGGATTCTTTTTAATTCACTGAAGTGGCTTGGGTGCCGCCATCCACACAGTAACCAACCTTTCTCATCAGAACTGGTCACATCTCTCTTCTCTTGCTCTACAAGGTGATGGGGGGGGAGTTAGATGAGTAATAAGGCACACTGCAAATCTGTAATTTTGTTGTTTTTTTTTTTCATCTTCCGCATAGTTGCTCATTTCTGAACATGCTCATCTGCTCAGGTCCATTTGTGTTTTCTTCATGCCCACTGAGCCAATATGTGGCTTATACTCCAACTATGCTGAGCAAACATTACAGGCCACATAGATGAGTTGTTGTTCTCCTATAGTGGTTGCCAACCATGGCTAGAGTTCAGTCTGCTCTGCTATTTAACCCATAGCTGAGCAAGAAGAGATGGCTTATATACTTTTCTCAAGGATTAGTCCATGATATTTTGTTAACCCTTGTCGGGCAGTAAAGAGATTTAAGCACTGAATCTAACAATTTCAGTTTCATTCGGAACATGGCTATTTAATATATAAGTACTGAAAAGTTCTTAATCTTAAAAAGATTAAATTTTTATTCAGGCTATGAACTTTTCAGCACTAACTACACATATCTAATCTATATGATGTAAATGTATTGAAAATCAAGAGGAATTATCAAGAATGCAAGCATGATTGGCATAGACATTTACAAATGATAGGAATATATTCCTAGGGCATTATTCTAAAATTTGGAAAATTGTTCAGTGAAAAAAAAAATATATATATATATATATATATATATATATATACACACATACAGGTGATCAATGGTGCCACAATCCTCAAATATTCCAGGTGTTAAGAGGAGGATTTCAATCTGGGTCATTCTCACAAAATAAAACTGTTTGATTTGCTAAACATGGCCACTTGACATCAATTGTGGTCCATGGTGAATTGTTAGACAATTTTCACAAATGGAGACTGGAAGACATTCAAAAGAAATCCTTGAAAAATCCTCATAATATTTTAATAAAGTAAATAAAATGCTTATTACACTCCCCCCACTTTCAGTTCCAAATAAGTTAAAACACTATGTACATTTCCTTTAAAAGCTGTAAAAATTATTGTAATGGGTGAAAATTTTTTTTTTTTTTTTTTTTTTTTTTTAAAACCAATTTATTTCTTGCAGGAACTGGTTGCTATGACCAGAAATTCAAGAATGGAGACACTTATGAAGTCCAAGATGGCTTAGATCATTATTCTTGTGTCTGTGTGACTGGTGAAACTCATCAAGTGGTATGCACACAGCTGGGTAGGTACTGATATTTATTAGAGAAATTCCAACAGAGGGCTTGCTGAAGGTGGTGGGGAATAAAATCAACAGTAAAAACTATCGTTTTTTTTTCCCTTTCTTTCTAACAGTAAGGCTCATCCTGTACAAGGCCCGGGGGCCACTCAAGGTAGTTTTATGATAAAAGGTAGTTTATATGAATAAAGGTAGGGGGTGATAACAGTTGACTCTAGACTTGAACAAGATAAGATTGTAGTGATTGTGGAGGAGGGGTTGGGGTAGAAGCATCTATTCCATAGGGCAGTGTTCATGGAAAGAAGCTCAGATCTGGTGGAACCAGGAGACTCAGTTCATCTGAGCACTTTCCATGGTAGTAGAGATTGATTGATTGAAAATAATTCTTCCACAAGGACTCGGATGCTTTTGAAGTCTATCAAGACTGGAAAGTGAGGTCTGGGAAGCTCCTGCCCAAATATGGCAACAATACTCCATTTTTAGCCTGATCTGATAAAGGTAGAGGATAGCATGAGTCAGGTACTTACTGGAGTGGTACAGGGAGCTGATCATTTTACCTGCATCTTTAGCAATGGATGGTATATAGGAATTCCACAGGCTGGATGTGAGTTTTGAGGCCCAATATCCTATAGAGGCATAGGTCCTCCTCAACAGGACATCGTGAGTGGCAGTCGTTCAGGATCTGACCAGCAGTGATGGAATTTAACCAGTTTTCATTTTAGAGGCATGGAATGTAACCAGCCAGTCCCCCCCCCTGAGAAGTTAGGGTTAGATTGAGAGACATCAGCTGCCAATATCTGATCAGGACTTTGAGATGCACCTGTATATTGTTCTGATTGACATAGACGTTTACAAATGATAATATATTCTTAGATCACTTAAGTAATTCAGAAAATGGGTTGGTCTGTGAAGTTAGCCCCCAAGTTGACTGCTAGAGCTTTGGAGGACTTCAGAGATTTACCTGTTAGAAAGGATTTTATAATTTATTCCTCTCTAGCTTTGTGCCACACCTTGTTGAAGGCCTTTTGTGATATATAATGCTATGGTCCTTGCAGTACATGTCATCAAGGGCCTCACTAATTCTGTGGGTTGTTTCTATCTAGGTGCTTGATGACCTTGTTAATTATGGCCTCAAAATTTACTGAGGCGACTAATAGGTTTATACTGGGAGGGGAAGGATTAGTTGCTCATGTTCTTGAAGATATGCATACATTTACCACTTTCCACATGTTTGGGAAAGATTTCTTCAAGCAACGGTTAAATAACTTTGCTAGAATTTGGCGATAATTCTGGATTAATATTTTAAGGAGGACCACTTGAATTTTGTCTAGGCCAGTGGCATCTTTGAAATCAAGGCTTTTGATATGTCTATAGACTTCTCTTGCTAAAATGAGTATATTACTGAGATTGTGCTCAATGAGACATGGGAAGTTAGAGGGGATGGCCTTTGTCATCAAATGTTGAGTTTGTGGCAAAGAGCTTCGGCTTGTCTGTGGAGAATGATACAAGATTCATTTATAATAGTAGACACAGCCACTTTGCCTCTGTTCATGATTTGGTTGATCTTCCAGAATTTGCAAGATGCAATTTTATTTTTAGCCTTGGCCTGGACAGATTGTGTATAACTGCACTTTGCATTTTCCAAGACGCTCTTATAGCAATTGCGGGTGGCTCTCTTTGCGATAAATTTTGAAGTAGTGGTTCTGGTGAGCTATGTTTGATTTCTGCAGGAATTTTTGAGGGGCTATAATCCTTTCCATCTCAGAAAGGATCCATTTGGAGATTAGGTTCAGAGGATAGATTGTGAGGATATTTTCAATCCTCTCTGATCATCCTGAGGAAAATACAGGGCAAAGACAAATGTGGTACTATGGATAAATGTCATGCAGAAACACAGATGTAAGATCAGGATTTTTTTTTTTTTTTTGCATTCCTGCCACAGTGAAACCTGACCTTGATATAGGCACCAAGCATGTGACCATTGACTCTAAGCTCCCCCACCTACTTTTCTTTAAGAGTCTTTAGCAATGCTCTACATGTGTCCATAATTATGGACACTACCTCCACCATGAAGTTGTGTGCTTTATTTTCCTTAAACATAATTGAATAAACAGTTGATCTTCCTTTCTCCCAATATCATCTTTGTCTGAACTTCATATCTTTTATAGCTCTAAGTAATGTCTGTTTTAGTACACTACCCCTGTTATCTATTTACACAAGCACATTGGGAAAATTATTAGCAAGTAACCTACCTAAAGTTTTCCTAGCAGTTTAAATAGGTCTTTATGTTGTATATGAAAATTTTGAAACCAGTAACAGTAGGTAATTCTTGCTTTGACAAGTGACATTAGATTCCAAAGGACAACTTATGACATAAGGTTTTGTAAAAAAAAAAAAAAAAAAATTTCTGATTATATGAATACTAGAGATTGCTGATGGCTTTTAGCATCTTGATATCAAAACTTTCCTGCTGCTATTGTTTTCTTTTTCCTGGTAGAAAAGACTTGTCACTTCATTTTTATACACTTTTAAAATCCAGGTCAAAATTTTTTATTTATCTATTTTCTTTTTAGCAAGCCGCTGTACTGATGAGCTCAAGACTTATATTGCTGGCCAACATTGGTTCATGTCTGTAAATGGTAAGAATTATTCCTGTAAATGTCATGGAGCATGGGGTGGACATCGAATCTGTGCTTTAAAAGACACATAGCTGCTGATGCAGCAGCACAAAACAAACTGTAATGGGTGGTAACTAATGAGAAGTCAATAAAAAAAAAATGAAAACTGTTTCTGGATTACTTGTTACTGCAATGGGAAAGGATATATATATATATATTTCAAGTTTCTCCATTTATGTTCCAAAGTTGAACTTTTTACCCATTTTAGACGAGTACAACTTCTGACAAAATACCAAACATTTGGAAACTATAAATCTTCCTTGTAAAGAAAAAGGCAACATATGTCAATTCTTTTATTACCAAAACTTGAAATGAAATGATGGACAGCAAATAAGTTCTTGAAGAGTTAAAAAGATTTAAGATGCAATGAAAAGCAGTTTTAACACAATTCTTAAAACAAAAATTGATAGTATTACTAAAAATTAAATTCAAGTAAGGAATGCATATTTTATCAAAGAATTTTCTTTTTAACTGTTGGCTTTTTCAAAATATTTCAACTTGTCTTTTGGATCAGGAATAATCTGAAAGAAGAAAAATAAAAATTAAATTACCCTCTGTTTGCTTTATATGTAGGGGGGGGACCATTCAACCATTTCTATGAAATCTGTCCTGGTATTACTTGTTCCATATGTCACATAGGCATGTTTAAGTTAAATAATACAAATTGAAGAAAGAATCAAATAAAGCAAAAAGAACCTGCAGAAGCTATGAGACTTTTATAAGTTCATCAAACAAAAGAGTCTACTGCCATTGGGGTTGACAGATAAAATTTGGAAAAGTGAGACTATAGCCTGCAATTAGAAGAATGGTTTGAAAGAAAGGGAATCTGAAAATAGATTTGGATTGGACAAAAATTGGTAAACAACAGTTGTGTGATAGGCAATCTAATCTTTCAGTTTGAAGACCCTGCCTAACAAGATCCCGTCAACATAAACAAAACTGGAGGACAGCAAGAAATGTGTTTGGCAACCAACATGAGAAGGTCAAGTCTAAGGCAAAGAAAACAGATGTTTTGACTGATTTCATAACAACAGCTTAAGAAGGATCTTCTTGATTAGGTGGCAGAACTTTTCCAGCATGTCTTTCTCTCCATTAAACCACTTAGTGTTGAGGTACAGTGAAGATGGTCTTTCCTTTATGAATGACATGGTGGGGGGAGGCAGATACGGTGATTAATAACATTTATTTTAAATGTTAGTACTTTAGTGGATACACGTGTTGTGTTGATGACTGGAATTTTTAATTGTATGAATTAAATCTACTGGCCTGTGCATTAAAGAGTCTTAATAAAGAAAACACGTCCTCAGGCAGGATTCAAACTCGTGTCCCCTTCTGTTTAAAGGACAGTTTTTTTTCCTACAAAGGAAGATGGAGGCACAAACTCTTGAGTGTACAGACTGGTAGATGTAATTCACAGTAACAAAATAAAATTTAAAAAAAAAAAAAAACACAGCATCTACTGAAAGCTGTATATTCACTAAAGTATAATGTTAAACTTAATAAAAATAAGTATGTATGTACTTCCAAACAATCAATTTTTTTTTTTTTTTTTTTAATCAAGAACTTTTCACCAATTCTCTTGTACACACTTCATCAATTACTATTCTAAAGAAGAAAAAAAGAAATTGCTTTTACAAAGTGCACACAAATTATAGTCATACACCAAATGATTACAAAAAAAAATAACCCTTAAAGATCACCTTTTTTTCATGTGAAACAATTTTTTTTTTTTTTTTCTTAAATGTTAAAATTCCCAAATAAACATTTATGCCCACCAAAATAAGTAAATTTAACAGAAATCAACTCAATTTTAAATTTTCACAGAATTTGATATCTTCCCTAAACAATTTAGTGACCAACATTCAGAAATTAGACAGAAAATTTTTCTACTGACCGTATCAGCTCCTGGTTTCCAACCAGCTGGGCACACTTCTCCATGACTGTCTGTATACTGAAAAGCTTGAACAAGACGTAATGTTTCATCAACTGAACGACCAACTGGCAAGTCATTCATAGTGATCTGCCGTAATATACCCTTGGTATCAATGATAAAGAGGCCACTATAAAACAAAAACCAAAAAACACAATCAGTGGCAAACAATGCTTTTATTTAGAAAGATATTAAATCTTTTTTGTTCACTTATGGTTTATTCCATTTCAAACCCATTTTCTTGAAATACTTTAATTTCCTTTTTTAGCATCATTCTGACAAATTCTGGATCGTACACAGAATTGGAGAGAAAAAAAAAAAAAAAAAAAAGAGAACCTTCTTTTAAGTCTCTCTGTTTGGGTATTAAATGTATGTGTAGAGAGTCAATTTTTTTTCTTAAAGCTTTTACCACTCAAATGATGTTGGTCAATTGTGCAGTAAAACTTGATGCTAATCAAAATACTTTTTATTTCGGTACCTCCACTAAATTTTCAATACCTAAGGTTTAAAATGAATTTTTAAAAATGAAAAAGCATTCTTGAAGATGTCATATTAGCTTTAATTGAAAGCTAAAGGATTAAATTTACTATTTCCAGTAAGTAAAATATTCTGGTGTATTTCAAATAGAAATTATATAAATTGGAATTTCAACTTTTTGACAGAGTTCAGAAAATTCTTAAAAGCATCCATTTTCTTAATTTTAAGAAATTTATAAATAAAACAAAATTATCAGATTTAAAAATCTTCCAAAAATAAAATATATATTTGTGACACATTGAGTAAAATTAGAAAATTTAAAGTTAAATTAATCCAATTTGAAACAAACATTATTTACTTTCAGCATAAAAAGATAATATACAAGCATTTCTTAACAATGGGTCCTGTTTTTCTTTTGTCTTTATTGATGCATTGATAAGTTCTGAAGTGTTGACAGAGCTAGTATGGATGATCAGAATTGACATAAATTTACAAAATCTAAGTGAACACATTTTTTCGGTTTTTAGCTACCTAGTAATTTTTACAAATTAACATTTTCAGCAGTTATTTAATATTTTATTGACTTTTACTTACATTTGAAGATGTTTTGTTTGTTAGTAAACTTAATTGAAGTATGACCCAAACTAAAATAAATACATAAAATAAAAATATTTAGTGAAATAGTAATTAAGTAAAACTTGCTTTAAAATTTTGAAGGGATTTGCAAAAACATTAACAATGAAACAGAACTGAATAATGAAAGTGAAAGAATTCCAGAGCACCAGGCTACTCTTAATCACATGTTTAAGAATAATATCATGTATGGCTTACCGTAGTTACAAATTGGGAACATTTTATACACTAAAAAAATTTTCTTTTAATTTATTAAAAAAATATTGACTACAAATGACTGCTATGAGCTTTTCAATTTTTGATTTATAAATGTAGTTTTCCCTTAATAACAATATCACCTAACTGCCCCCTTGAAGTAATGCAGAATTTTAAATGATTTTTTAATATTATAAATTATTTAATTAAAATTTTTAAAAATGAAAAAAATTCTTGTAAAAATTAATTATCGAAAAAAAAAAAAAATTTCTTAAGACAATGGTGTCCTTAATAACTCTTAATTATAAAAGAAATTAAAAGCTTTCCTAATTAAATAATTTCATAGTTCTATTGCATTTTTTATTTTACAATTCAGAGCAGATTTTCGATGAATGGGTTAACGGCCTTACAAAAAAAAAAAAAAAAAAAAAAATTACATTCTCCAATGAGTCCTGTTTTTAACTAATAAAAAATAAATTTCCACCCTAAACATTGAATTTCTCAAAATTTCATGAAAATAAGTGTGGTAACATGTGTAAAAAAAAAAAAAAAAATTTTCAAAAATAATTTCATTCATTTCTGAATATGTCCTGAAAGTTTCATTTAAATCCAACAATTATTTGATTTTTGCAAGAATTTCCAAATCAATGTGTTTTTCAGCAAAAAAAAGTGCAAAAAACTAATCGTAATTATTACATCAGCTGCTGATGTAAACAAAACAAGTTTCTTAACCAAAATTTCGAACATGCTAGAAAGGATTAAAAATTAAAAAAAAAAAAAAAAAAAAAAAAAATCAAAAAATACTTTCCTCTTAATAATAACAAATATTTTGATGATAAAACTTTGTTTTTATTGAGTTTGGGGCCTTTTTTCATCATGCTATGCTGTTTTTCTGCAAAAAAGTGGAGGCACCTATTTAATTTTAGAAGATCCAGATTTTCAAGGCCTGTTGTAAGGAAGTCCTTCAGAATTTAATTCCTTCTTTAAATTGGGATTTTCTCATTTGTAATTAAATGCACAATAACACATACTTTACATAAGAAGAAAGGAAAGTAATTTGCCTAAAATATATAACCAATCAAAGGAGGGTGTTTATTCATAAATATCTAGATATTAAAAATCTCATATGTTATAAAATTGAACAGCAGCCTCTTACCGTAAACTGTGTCCCAGATTCTGTAAATAGACGCCGTAGGCTTTGGAAATCTCATGTGTGATGTCTGATAAAAGAGGAATTTTCAGATGGCCCAACCCACCTTTGTTTCTTGGTGTATTCAACCTACAAGCAAAAATTTAATTTAAATAAAAATTCAATCCTAAGAGTTCAGGGTTCACATTTTGAAATAAGAATAAAAAACAGATGAAAAATTTCTAATCTAAATGTAGAGTTACAATTTTAAATTTGAAAAGATAATCAGGTGAATAAATAGATTTAATTTTTATATAAATGTCTTATTTTTTAACCAGTCCATTATTATAAAATGTATATAATAAACTTGTATACAAATTTACATTCAAATTCTGATGTCTGTAACTCTAAAATACTCAGTGATTTAGCATATAAACTTTATCAGAAATTTTCTGATCTTCCATTATGATGTAAACAATTATTTTAAGTGAATTTAATGAGATTCAAATGCCAATATGGATTAATATTGAATTTCTAAAAAACAAAAAAACACTTGAAAAGTGATTCCAAATTCAGTTAAACCAGATGTTGCTGGATAACCTTGCTAATTATAAATATTTGAGAGTGACGCCCCCCCCAAGAACTTACCAAGCCAAATGAGTAAACTGAGAATCAACAGAACAAGCAACAACTTCGGTGTTCAAACCTTTGAATTCTTCAATTCGGTCACTGAATGCAATGATTTCTGTTGGACAGACAAAAGTGCTGCAGAGAAGAAAATAAAAGAAATTTTATTTTAAGTCTTTTTGTTGCAATTTTAGAATTGATAAGCTTTGATTGCAACATTAACAAAGCATAGCTGCAATACTGAGTCTAATATAATTATTATCAAGGAAATCAAATACAATTCTTAATAATTTAATCCAAAACAGCTACTGTATTATTATAATAATAATCTTTCAATATTAATAATTCACAATAAAAATGTAATGGACCTGTCTTACCTCTCCAACAAAAGAGGCACAAAATCGCCTATGCCATGCATGGTCATGTAAATTACCTAGTGTGTTATTATTAATTAAATGCCTGTAGATGGGCATAAAAAAGTCTGCATAATTGACTGAGCTACAGATAAAAGCCGGCAAATTTTGTTTTTGGTGGGCGGGGTGAAGATTGTGGACGGCAAGGAGTACAGCTGTAAGGCTCAAGGACAAAGATGTGGCCGTGAAGAATGAGAAACTGATTACTACAAAAAATAACTCATGCAATAATATTGGCTGGTCACGTTGTCAATTTCCAAATTCAAGGAAGACAACCGAGTATAACGCAGCAGAGAGTGAAATAAAACTGCATGGATGAGTCAAGATGTTTCTGAAGAATAATTCTTAATGATATGATGAAATATTTGAGTGAAACACTTCTGATAAGGGAAAGGAAGATGAGAAACTGGCTAAAATTATCGAAGAGGAACCGAGAACAAATCAAGAGGAACGCCTGCACAATATTACTTCTCTAAACAGATTTCAAAAAGAGGATGAAAGCCTAATACAATAGTTGCTACATTAGCATATATATATTTCATACACTAAATGTATATCAATCTTTATAAGGAGGTAGGTTTTCAATTCTGTTTGCTGCTGCCTTTGTATTCTTTTCATTCTCCTTTTAGATTCTGTTGTTTGTAAAACAAAAATAATTAAGAAAAAACTATTTACAAAGGCAAAAGAATTCATCAAAAACAACAAAGAGAAAAAAAATATTTTTTGGTGCTTAAGGCTTTGAGCAAATGATGCTTGACGTTGTTGGGCAAAGATCATCCTTCTTTGAACATTGTGGACTGGTTCTACAGAATCACAAAGAATTGCAAATATAATAGAAACTTGAAGACTGCCAACAGCAGCAACAACTAAAATGGAAAGCACATGTAACTCAAAGAGAAAATAATGACATTTCACACTACTTCAAATAAAAGGTTAGGAAGGAAACCCCCAATCAGTACTGGAAAGAACAATAACAGCTAGTGGACTTGAAAAACCTATTTTCCTGAAAAATTGTTTTAAGAGAAAGATTTTAAAAATTTCAACTGGCTGCTTGCTCAATGAATGCCAAATGTTTCCTTATAGGGAAACGGATAATACTAACATCCCCTTACTTGGAGATTTTTAATGAAGATGGTTGTGGTGCTAATTCGAATTATACTTGTTTGACTTTATATTTTTAGTATTGTCTTCCTTTCCACTTCAGATAAACAGGAGAAAAAAGTCAGTAACACTTGTAGATTGTGAAATAAATAAAAAGAGGTGATAGAAATAAACTTCAAAACTTACAAATCCAGAGGATAAAAGAAGAATACAAGATATTTCCCTTTAAAAGTTCGGAGACCAATCTCTTCAAATTTGCCATTAATAACTGCTGTGCCATTCCAGTCAGGAGCAGGCTTGGAAACTGAAAATAAAAATAATTATAAAGAATTAAAAAAATATTTCATTTTTATAATTCAAACAGATTATTAAAACTTAATTTTGTTTCCAGTCAAACAGTCAATCAACTACAACAATTTACTACTTAACAGACTTTGACATCAAAATTTTATGCATAGTGCCAGTGAATAAGTGTTTTGGCCTTCAGTTTAATCTAGACAAGGGGGAGGGATAATATGACACTGAGATTTTAAGAACTCACAAAAATTACATTTACAGTCTTTAACATGTATTTAATCTATCTCCCTCAAAAAAAAAAAAAAAATCACCAAGATTTATTTTCTTTTTTTGTTTTTACCAAAGTAAAACAAGCACTGTGTATTTGGTGAGTGCAAAAATATTTACTGTTTACTATAGGGTATTCAATGTAGATTTCAAAAGAGAATGCTTTGAACTTTTACGCAAGATTTAAACTGCCATCTGAGTTTTAAAATTGAATTTTGTATTGGAAAAGAAAACACACTATGATTCTTTTCTTACATTGATTTTCTAAAATTTAGTCTTCCTTATAAAATTATTAAATTGAATTTAAAATAATAGCTATTAAACTATTAGAGTCCACTGTCAAAATTGGGACAGTGGATATTAATGGGTTACTATAGCTGTACCAGTGGAAATTCTACAGTTTTAGATTTAATTATGTATGTACTTATTGTTTACTTGTCTTTAATATTGATATAAGAAATAAATGACTTATGCATGCTGCTTTGTAATTTTAATTACTCATGTGAAAATACTTTTGACAGGGAATTCTTAAACACCAGGTGTTGGAGAAGAGGGGTCTGAAAGATTTACTTATCTAAAAATATTTACAATGACAGTTTACACTTCTAAATATCCATTTTCAATATATATTCAATAAAAATTCACTCATTTCATACTATACAGATAAATCTTCTAATAAAGTCTGAGGGAATTGTTAATAAAATTACATGAACATGCATGTACATATGAATTATTTTTTCAGGTCTATAGTTTAATCAAATTAAGAGAAAACATTCGCAACTGCAACAGTGCATCTTCACTTGTGTCCTTTGGTGCAAAGATAAATGTCACATCCAGTAGACGAAGATATTATTTCGGAATGCAAAGGCAAACTTATCATTATACTTAGGTACCTCCACGAAATCGCTAAAAAAAGAGCATAGCTTGACAAAAAAGAGCATAGCTTGATGAAAAAGACGCCAACCTTGCCGAAAACAAAATTTTATTGTCTAAATGCTTATGTTATTATTAAGAGGAAAGACCAAAGTTTTTTTTTTAATTATTTTTTAAAAAATTTCCTTCTTTTTAGAACATTCCAAATTTTGATTAAAAAAACCTTGTTTCTATTTGTATCATGAACTAGTAAATAACATAGACAATTTTTAGCACGTTTTTTGGTATGACACACATTAATTTGAAAAATCGTGCAAAAATAGAAATAATTATCGGATGTTAATGAAACTTTCAGGAACTATTCACAGATGATCGAAATTATTATAAATATGTTTTTTTTTATGAAAGTCATGGTAGAAATATTTTTAAAAAATATTTATTACCCCCATAACTAATTTTATGAAAACGCTAGAAATTGATCACATCGGTTTTAGTGATTACAATAATTAAAAGCAGAGGGCTTTGAGGAATGCAAATCATGTTTTTTTTTTGTTTTTAATTGATACGCAGTACCTGAAAATCAGCTCTGAATTGTAACATACAAAACTCAATAAAACAAAGATATTATTTAATTTCAAATGCTTTTTATTTGCTTTTAGTTGTTTTTATGAATATGGACAATATTTTCTGAAAGCAAAAAAATTTTTGATGAAAAATGAATTTTTAATACAATTATTTGTTATTTCATTAATTATAATACATTTTACATTTAAGTTGTTAAAATATTATAAAATTAGTTAAAAGTCAAGATCGGCTTTCATAAGTGTCCTTATGAGATAGATCTTTTTTTAGCGCGTTGTAAATTGTATCATTTTGACTAATCAGAAGATCCCCAGTAATTAAGAAATGTAATTTTGTGCTTATAATCGAGCTGTAATTATAAAATACGGAAGACCAACCAGAATATAATTGTTAAGCACGTTATTTGAGTTAAGCATTGTTCTCCGCTGTTAAGGCCTTTACTTTTATAAAACAAGTGTGGAGAAGTTAATTTGATTTTTCAATTTCAACTGAGAAGGGTACCTACAAGTATCAGTATCATCTTATGAAATTTATATGATCTTTATTTTTATATTAATCTCAGTTACTTACATTTTTCCATAAATGAAATATCAAAATTAATAATAAAATGAATGCAAATACAAATAACAGTAGAATGTAATAAATGTACATAAAATTATAGTATTTTATGTACAATTCTGATAAAATTTCATAAGAAAGGTACCTATAAATTAATTAGATACCTTTCTTAAGAAATATGAAATTTAATGTCACTCTTAACAGTTTTATTTTAATTTCTTTACAATATATTTCCCATAAAGCATCATAAACCTAAAGGGGAAAGCTAAGTACAAAAAAAAAAAAAATTAAACCGCTGAAAGTTTTCGTTAAAAATAACGAGGTAAATAATTTGTTCACGTAAATGTAAATTATTTCACTTTTCTCCTTCCGTAGAACAAATTAGCCTCATGGAATTTGTAAATATATCATTCATCACATGTCAAGAGACGCGAAAGTTTATGACCTGCTTTGTTTTATTTTCAAATTACATCTTTTTGGCACAAAAGCTAAGTTAAGTTTGGTTCAAAATATTTTAAATAAACATTATAATTTCTGATTTTCTTAAAATAAGTTTTGAAAAAATGATAATTGATATTTAAAAAAATTTCAAAGTCAGATTTCCAGTTTTTTTTAAAATGGAAAATAAATGGTCACTTTTGATGACTCAAAAAAAACTAGATTTTTAACGAAAATTTCGGACGTGCTAGGAACGATTAAAAATGGAAAAAATACCCCAAAAATACTTTGACCTTTCCTCTTAATAATAACAAACATTTAGACGATAAAATTTTGTTTTCGTCCAAGTTTACGCCTTTTTCATCATGCTATGCTCTTTTTTTAGCGATCTCGTGGAGGTACCTAATTATATTGTTAATCTTCATCGTGAAAACAAAGGCAATATGGCACTCAGCAATAAATTAAATTCAAATAAATTTAAATATGAATCAATCAGATTTTTAAACAAATCAATTATAAATAAATTCAAATGTGTAACTACAATTTAAAAAATTCAATAAAAATCAAATTTAAATATCAAATTGAGCAAAACCTTTAAAAAACAATTCTTTATAAAAAAAAAATAACGTCAATTTTGGTTTTCATCACAATTAAAATTAAGATTTAATTAAAAAAGGGGGGGGCAAGGTAAATTGCTTGGCAAGGGTTAAAGACATTCAGACAGAGGATATGAGGTATATTTCAAACCTAGATTTATACAGAGGATTGCCTATTTGGTATATTGCACAGCTAAGGTTACTGAATACAAATTAAGGTTCGACTTATATGAATAAAAACTCAAAAAAGGGGCTTTTTTCAAGGTACATTCGGAAAGGTAAACAAAGTAGACAAGGTAGGTGGACATACAGTCTTAAATAAAGAATAAAAAATCAGTTTCTAACACTGCTATGGTTATCTACTCAATATATTTCAAAAATATTGGTTCCTAGTGTCCTATAAGACCTGGCTTTATATGAAGCAACCTGTAACCCCTTTTTAAAGTACACACTAAAAATGTACACAAACAATGTTGATCACATACAAAGATAGATTATGCTGAATTAAGGACTTAAAGAATTAAGCCAATGTTTATTTAATTAAAATAGAGATTCATATTTACATAATTAAAACTCTAAAATGTTGGCATTTACTTGTTTGTTACTACTTTTTTATAATTTAACAACTGCATATGATTTCAAATTCACATTGATTACTTGCCCTTGCTTTTAATTTGTACTTAAAACTTTATTTTAATTTTTTATTTTATTAGAATTTTTTTTGATAACACGCTGATGCATGTTGGAATTCTCATAGTATTTAGTGTTGTTGAAGTTATTGCTAAGATTTTTGTTGAGATTTACAAACTCTACAATTTTATTCAATTTTGCAAACCAGTTAAAATTTGAATAAACTGATTTGTTTGGAAAAATACTTTGGCAAAAACTCTTTGTGGTTTTTACACACCCTAATAAAACCAACTGCACATTGTGTCCCCCTTACCTATTTGAACTTTTTCCCAGAATTTGGTTTCAATCAGTCAATGTATTTTAGAGGGTGTAATGGGAGGATGGACTAATGGAAGTTGCAGAATTTTATATATAGATAGATGTTTATTAGTTTGAATGAATTGATTTAATTTCTTTTTAATGTTAAATTCAAATAAATTTAAATATAAAATTGACTATTCTAAAACGAATCAATTATACATTAAATAAATTAAAATACTGAAAGGCGTAACAAACATTTTACTTATACACACCATAATGCAATAGTTTAAGTAGAAATGTATAATATTGGATTTTTATAAGCCTATAATTAATTAATACCAGATTTTTATTTTAATTTTTACAATGCAAGATTTTATGATGAACATTAATAGGTTAAAAGCTGAAGTATCTAGAATTTAAAATAAAATGATTATTAACACTTAAAACGTGTATGCAATTTGGCAACGATAGAAAAACACATTTGCTAAGTAGTTTAAATATTAGAGAGAAAATTGCTTACTCATCTTCCTAAAAAAAAAAAAAAAAAACACTATGATCAATTGTGGAAGATTTAAAAATAACACTAGAATTGAACATTTTGGTGAAGCACAAATAAAATATCTTATTATAATTCTGCTTCTCCCTACCTCAGTTTGTTAGTCAGCACTTACATTATGTTAAACCCTGTCAATACCTCATAAATAATGAATGATATCAGAGATAGTACTTGGCTTCAGTGAATGAAAGAAACACTCTGCCAGTA